ATTGTGTCCTTTTGTCTATAAATTTTAATTTATTTTAAATTTCTTTCTAACGTTTTTTTTATTTTAGGATACCTTAAAAACATCTGGCCGGGGACAGCAGATGGAAATGAGCCTCTCCTGCTCACTGACAGTACACATATTAGTTTGATTAGTGTGCGCTGTCCCTGCTAAATGAATGAATAAATAACTAAAGCAAAGGTGGGAAAACAATTGCCTCATTCGCGCAAGTTGAATTATATGTATGTATATACACATGTTTTGTTTTCATGGATGGTGGATCTTTCTGGCCCCTGATCCTGCCTCATGCCGTGGCCCTGCAGACACCTACCGCCTCAACACTATTATTAGCCTAACTAATGCACATCACTAACTTTGCTTCTTCCACAAAGTATTTGTGCTTTTTCTCCTCACCGGATTTCATAGATTCTGCTTCTATCTGGACCTTTGGTTCTGTCTCCTGCCGACACCTGCTGCTGCAATATCATTATAATTAGTCACATTAGTACAACTTTCATTATAAACTCACGTTACTGACTTTAAGGAGGGACTATGGGTCTATCAAGGGTTATCTTCTTTTATTAGTCCCGTTAGTACATTCGCAGGAATTAAGCAGCAAAGGTTAAAGCGCAAACAAACATAGATATGTACAGACAAAAGTGTTTGTATGTTAAGGTGTTTGTGGAGCCTGACAGCACAGAGGAAGGACCTCTCCCTCATTCACAACTATTATTTGCTACTTGGTGTGTAAAGGAAGGAGCTGCTTCATACTGCAGGGATGAAGCAGCTGGTGCCCAAAGGAGGCGTACAGAGCTCCCACAGTGTCCTGCGTGGAGTGGGAGCTGTTGTCCATCGGGGACGATAGCTTAGCCGTCATCCTCCTGTCTCCCATCACCTCCACAGTATCCAGAGGACCCCCCAGGTGGGATGTTAAAGCCACCAGTCTTCCAAAGCTGTGGTTCTCTCCCCAACATCAAGCTCAAATCCGACAAGCTGGTCTACGCAGGATCTGAGCAGCCTTGAGCTGATGCTGTCTGGATCAGTGGCGTTCCTTCATCTTCCTCAGCTCACGCAACCACTATTCTTGACACACAATCTTATTCAAGATAATGTGTTGGTGTGTGTAATCGGTTTGCTCCTTCTTCCAGTCATCTACATTGCATCAGAAATAGATATAAAGAATGATAAGAGCATCTAACCCTGGTTTGATGAAGGGTTGGACTGCTCATTTGAGGGACTGCTTTTCACTATTTTTATGTTACCTTTGCTTTCCCCTGGAGAGCAATACATGAGCTCATATTCTCCTCAGTTTGTATAAGGGGACAGGAGTTTTTATTTCTCTCCTCGGCGGCTCTGAGGCAGCTACTGGTGTGGGGCTGGAACCACCATTATTTGTCTGTTACATGCTCTGCTTCAGCTCCGATGTTTTCCAGATGTTACAGATGTTGTTACCACATTATTGCTGCTGGTAGAGGCCCAACTGTGAAACCAACCACAACAGTCCCAGCCTCAGCACCAGTGGTGGAAGTGAAATAGTTTGAGTCGGTGTTGTTTACTTTGGCTACATGCCAACGGGCCTCTAAAGGCTTTAAACTGATTTATTCAGAGAAAGAGATAACAAGGTTTTTTCAGTAGTATGTACACTTTTTAGAGACTTGTGGACTATTTGTACTAAGTTACCATAGTGCATGTCCATGTAATAATAGATTAAACATTTAATGTTTAATATCTAGCCGATTGCTGTTTTGTTGAAACAGGCTAAACTGCAGAGCTGTTCTTTGTACATGGGGCTGGTTTCAAGCATCACTGAAAAAGTGTTAGAATAGATTATTAACAGTTATGAATGCCAATAACTAATGACAACATAATACACACAACACAAAATGCATCACTAGTTCAAAAGTAAACCTCAAATACTCAAATCTATCTTTGCTGTTGTTATTTAACACAAATTGAGCTAAACATTGACTGGTGGTGTCTGGGATCGAGCCGAGGATTAGTTTGAAGGACAACCCTTTCAAATACTGAAATATGAGGTCAATTTTAACTCAGTTAACGAAACGTTGTTTACCTCCAGTATGCGTTGGCCCCTGACCCCTGAAACCTCCACATGCTGAAGTCAGTTAGATCGGCGACGTACAGCGGTAACGATGATCACGTGTGTAGTTTTGTGTTTAAAATACAAATGCACCAAATATGCTTTCTAAAGTGAACACTTTTCGACCGGCGAGCTTTGGTCGTCTTTATGGTCGTGACTTAAAACACAGACCAATAGCATTCGAGTTAAACAATCCCACTTGATATCGCTCGACCAATCGAGTCTTTGCATTCCAGGCAGGATGATGATGTCGTCTCAATACTGCGGACAGACGAGAGGTAGCGGAAAATAACAAATAAAAAGAAAAAAGAAAGATAGCGACATTTGAGAAAAAGACGAGTGAGACGCAGAAAGAGATGGGAGAGAAAAATGAGGAACAAATGGTGCTCTCCAAAAAGAGAAAAATGGACAGCGAAAGTAGAGCATTTTATCCACAATGGTTTCTGTTCATACTTCCCACTAAAAAACTAAACCCGTTGAAACGCCGTCATGAGGCGCAATGAGCTCCTCCACGTGAGGACGAGAACAGCCCTGATGCATTAAGACCAGGTTTCACATCCTGGAAGGAAAAACTAGAGCTTAATTCTTCCACTACTAAAAAAGTGTGGGAGTGGATATATATTCTAGTCCAAATGTGAAGCAGAAAAGGGGAAATTCAAGCTTTTCTTTTCTTAATTTTTTCACTTTCTTTAAATACAGCCCTACTTTTATTTAGATAATTGAGAGAAAATGACTTATATTTGAAGTCACACATATATGTTCAGTTATTTTGTTACATAAACATTACGTTTTGAATCATACTGAATTGATTTGGTTTGTTAGTCGTGTATTGATTAAATGCAGATGCTGATACAACTCTCAACTCTTCATCTATTTAATCACAGTAAGCTGGATCAGTGGATCCACACTGCCATCTCTGGGTGGGCAGTGAACATTCCAGCCTTCTCCTTTCCTTGTACAATTTAAAATAAAAAAGGAGAGTAGTTGCCTCCTGGTGGTCACTGCAGAGAACTGCAAGTCAAAGACACATTTGGCTTTCTGTCCAACTAGTGTGAATCTCATAGCAAAAGCATACTGCTCTCCAGTAATAGAGGGAACTCCAGACAACCGACAGAGCAATGAATGGAACACAAAATATCAATATTGTACATTTTTCACTTTTCACAACCATTTTTTAGATTCAAAGTAAATTTGATGCGTGTGAAGGATGATATAGAAAAACACAATGGCAGTCTAAATCTGAAAAACAAACCTACATTTCTCCGTATTAATGTGTGTGCAGGATATTTAAAGGGAGGGGTTATATGCTAAACAATACCTGTATAAAATACAATAATATTCTATGGTACCCTACTCTGGCAGATATCTTGAGAAATGTGTATCTAACGATGATGATTTTCCCTTTAAAAGAGCTGGAATACAGTAATACAAGTGACTTGAGTTACAGTCAACATGTCTAATATACTTTGTCTTCAAGATCAGGAGAGAAGATTCTAATCGGGTTGTAGCATCCTCCTCCTCCTCACGGATTAATCCGATCCATCTGAAAACATTGGCAATGGTTCAATGTGAATTTTAGAACTCGTTGAAAGCTTGATGCATTTCTGCTCATGTGAATTCAAGAAGTTATTCATAAGTTCTTTCTATTATTAAAAAGGAGATTAGCGACTTGCTAAAATGAAGAATTGTGCAATGATTTGTTGTACGGATGCCCCCATGACCATGAAGTGCTACAAAAAGTGTTTTTTCAGAAAGTGATTAACCTGATTTAGAATTTTAAGAATGGATAAGGAATGATTTTCTCTCTGTTAGGGTCTTGCTCAGTGCTCAGAGGTAGGTCGGTTATCTGACGGCTTTACGCCTCCACAATCAGTTGCACATATGTAATAGAATAATGCGCAGCGACTTGCCTCATTTAGGGCGCGCCTCATTAACAAACAGGCTCCAGGGAAGGAGGACGAAGGCTCAGCTAGGCCGCACTTAGCTGGGAATGTTTTCTCTCCAGGTCACCCGCTCATCCAGCGCATTTACCCACATGAAGTGTGAGTGAGACCCCCCGGAAACATAATGACTTTTAGACTTGTTTTCTGGATTAGGATATTTTCTGGATCATTTCATAACTGGCTGCCAAGCAAATTATAAACACAGAGGCCACTTTATCAGATTCTTCCCACACAAACAGCTTCTTGGGCATTTTAAGCTCCATTATTTTTATTTTACAAATGACTAGTGCAATTACAAAGGTATTGTCTTTAAATGGCCCGGGGGTATTGATAGGAACTCAAATGCGGGGGCTTCTTTCAGCCTGCTTAGGTTTCCAGACCTAACATAGTCTGCGATTATGGACCTTATTTTTACCACAGATTATCAGAAAGAGCAGCACACAACTGGCAGACATACACACAAACAGATTCAAACAAACAAATTATAAGAATTTTAAGAATATTTGGGAGTTTAATAAACTGCAAATTTGTAAGAATCTGAAAAAATGTTCCCCAGGGAGTCCCTATTCTGCCTGGATTTTATTAAAAGGTTTCAGGGTCCCACCTTCAGAGAGATCATGTATCATCTGTACTAACAATTGGTGTGTAAAAAGAGTGTCTTCGGTTTATGGCCTTATCCTCAGATTAACTGCAGTAAACAAAACAGTTGTAAAAAGGAAAAGCATAATATTGCAAAACAGCTTTCTTTCTCTCGCCAAGAAAAACAAGCAGATAGCGCACATATAGTTATTTACAAACCTGCAGCTCACCGGGTGATCAGCGCCTTTCATTATGAGCATTTAAACACACACTTCTCTTTCTGTCATGGATCAGCCAAAACAGCGGGAGAGGTTTAAACGTGCTTAAAGGAAAAAGGAAATTGTGTGTGCACCTGTTACTTGGTGCTGATGCGCACTTCTTACCTTATGAACGGAGGAATAATGTATTCTTCTAAAACTGACGAACTCCTCGAGACTTGACGAGACGAACATGTTGGTGGTTGAAGAAGTCACGATACTTTTTCCCCCTAAATTCGCCCGCAGCTGACAGACAACAGACAGACAAAGTACGCGGATATTAACGCGTCATGATGACGTCATCCACGAACCCAGGACGCTCGTATCGGTGCAGCGGTGCTTCTTGTGCACCGACTACGGACCGCGACGACTATTTTACGCTGCGGCGAGTTTGAACGTGGCATCGTTAGTTTAGCTCAGCTGTCTGTTAGCTGCCTGTTAGCAGCCTGTTAGCTGTCTGTTAGCTGCCTGTTAGCTGTCTGTGTCCGTCGATTTTAGCTGCCTGTTAGCAGCCTGTTAGCTGCCTGTTAGCAGCCTGTTAGCTGCCTGTTAGCTGCCTGTTAGCTGCCTGTTAGCTGTCTGTTAGCAGCCTGTTAGCTGCCTGTTAGCTGCCTGTTAGCAGGCTGAAGCCGCGCTGCTTCACAGAAACATGAAGACGCGTTTAAAGACTGTCGGACCTTTCTGCTCTGTTCTCTGGCGACTAACGTAATAAACTCATTGCAGGTTCTGAAGCCAAGAAAATAATGTATTGCAGATTGTAGGAGGTTAAGGTCTCTTTTGTTGGGACAGTGGAAACAATAAAGGAGCATGAAGTGTCAAAAGCATTGCAAGTAAACAGACAAAGACAACAAAGTGTTGCGTTTAGGTCCCTGGTCCTCATGAAGTTGTTACGCCTTTGCCAATTTGTTAAATTGCCTTGCAAATAAATGCTTTGCTATTTGTTAAAATCCAAATCCTTTCATGTAATGATGTTTCACATGTCATTTATATTCGCTCACACAAACACTTCCACTCAGCAAAAAGAGTGTTGAAATTTCAGGGTTAAACATTTCCGAGTTGATTTTCACTCCCAGAGTGTAATTTTAACACATTCTGATTTAAATGGTGTTCAGTGTTGGAGTTATTTGGCAGAGTTGATCATGTCAGTGTTAACCCAACTCCGCAGAGACGTAATTAAGCTCGGCCCACGCCTTTCACCTCTTCGGTTAGAGACAGAGAAGACAAGTCTGCGCCATTTTCTACCTCTCATGCAGTACCACACGGTAAGTGCAATTAAGTTAAACTTACTGAAACAATTAAAAATTGATGCTGAGAATTTCAGTATGAACAATTAAATATCTACAGAGAATATATGCCTTACACAGCCGTGTTTGTTGCCAGGACTGAACAGTAAATTTGTCCTCGTGGTTAGCTAGCTAGTTAGCAGTGTACGGTAAGCTAGCTAACAGTTTATTACTAAAACTATCTCCAACTTTATCAATAATGATTTAACAATTCATAGGCATGCTCAAAGCTAGGAAATACAAAGCATTATGATTTTTAACTATATAAAATCTTGTTTGAGGCTGGAGCTGTTTTTTTTTCCTCTTTGAAGATCAAAGGGACCGCAAAAAAACGTGTCCCAACATGCAGACGGTGTTTCACGTGTCTAGTTCACGTGTCTAGTTCGCGTGTCTAGTTCGCGTGTCTAGTTCACGTGTCTAGTTCTCCATCAGATTCTATGACCTGCAGTGTTGGAAAAAGTACTCATTTACTTAAGTAAAAGTATGTAAGTATTACCATTACTATAATTACCAAGTTAAAGCTAAAGTACAAAATTAGCAGAAAATCGGGGTGTGACTGATATATATGAAATACCTTTAAGTGCATCATTGAATACTTATGAGTCGGTGCATAAGCAGCCGATTTTCTGGAAAGTAGTACTTTTTCCAATACTGCAGATCACAGAATCTGATGGGTCACCAAAAATGGTGTAACACTGTCGACTTTTTACCGTTGTTGCTTAAATGTTCATTTACTTTGTCAAACTTCATTGCATGTCTCAGTCAAAATGCTGGTCCAGGTGAAGTACAGCCAACAGCAGAAGTATGTAAAGTTGGACGACGATGAAGGACTGTTTGACTTTCTGCAATTCCATGAAAAGGGTTAGTATGGCTTACAAAAAAGGTTTTAAACCACATCCATGTTCTTTTTAAAGCTCTTTACATGCCTTTATCAGACTCTTATACTGTAAATGGGTGTACATTGCTAAACATTTTCGGTTCTGCTATGTGTGCTTCATGAAGTGTAAAGTATAATATACACCAAAACAGTCAATAAAAAAAAGGCAATCAGCAATTTTTAAATTTGGACTTGGAAGGGAATGGGTTTTGTGAGGGACAAATGCTCTATGTCTATTTAATGATTATACAGTGTTGGATGTATGTATTTAACATGAACAGTTATTGGCTGTGAGGCAAGAAACAGTGCGGACTTCAAAAGCACATTCAGTTTGACCTTATCTATTCCAGTCATGGAGAGATTTGCCCTGCCACCTGATGCAAATGTTATATACAAGGATGCAACAGGGACAGAAGTTGATGCAGAAATATTCAGCGACCTCGCTGGACAAGGCAATGTGGTCCTGACAGTTTTCTCAGATCAGGGTGAGATATCAAGGCAGGTATAATAAAGCACTCTACACCTTAGTATATCATTTAATAATTTAAATGTTCTCTATTGCTTTAGAATTCTCTGATTTCTCCTTGTCTTCTGAGACGTCTGACTCAAGCTTCAGCTCAAGTGCATCAACTACAATCCTAGATGTTCCTAACAAGAGACAAAGAATTGAGGATACACGTGATGCTGTGTCTGCTAAACAGGTTGCTTAATGCTTTCACATTTTTTTCACTCTGAGTCACTAGAAAAGCTGTTTATCACCATGTTTTGTATTCTCATGTTTTTGTTTTTTATTAGTTGATAGAAGCTGTGCTAAGAGGCAAGTCCGGAGGTGAAGAAGTACTACAGGAGTACCAAACAACAGAAACCCTAACAGATGCTGCAAGAAGACAAATGGTTAATATCCTGGTGGCTCACATGATTGACAATCATGGGTATGTTTGTTTGACATTGTTTTTATTTGTGCCAAATAAATGCATGACCATTGCATAAATGTACTAATTTACTATCTCCTCTCAGGCACTGCCCCACTAAAACAATCAGAAGATTATGCACGTGGGATAGTGATGCTGTTCCCTTCCCTTAAGGATCCATACTCCAAGAAGGGCTATGTAATAGGCATTATTATTGTTTAAACTTCCATGTCATGTTGTGACCCAAAGCTGTGTGGATGACATTGATATTTAAATTCCGTGAGATTTCTCATGAGCCTGGTATTACAACACATTTCTTTTTTTCATTTCAGGAACACTTCTATGATGCTGCAAGCAGCACGGGATACATTTCTTGGCGTCTGAAAACAGTCCAGAGGAAGATTCGTCAAGGATCTGCACAGCCACCAAATAGCCCAATTGACTTTTCTCCAGGAGGCCCAAATTGCCAAAGGACTGTTAATGTTGAAGGGCAGCTTGATGGTGATGCTTGCCAAGAGGCCATGTCTTTGCTTAACCATACAGCAGACAATTCCCTGATTTTCCAGAAGATGAGTGAGACCTTTCAGCATCGTCAGAAGCTTGTTAATGACCCAGGCAGAAGTGTTGATATACTCTCCAGCTTCCCGAGATTTCTGGATACAAAAGGATTGGTAAGTTTGGGATGAGATGTTTGGAATGGCTTGAAATTTGAAAGTATTTCCAGTAGTAGTCGTAGTAGTAGTTGTTGTTTAATATCTTCTTTCCTAAAGGTGGACCAAGACTTCACTCTCCTATTTGACGAAGACACATCCTCCAGGCTTCTTCAGAAATGGGATTTGTTCTTCAAGCCAAATGTCATTAAAGAGGCTAAGCGGCTCACCTCAACACCAGAGTTGCGTCGCTTGGTGCAGTCAGCAGAAAGTCCCCCAGGAAGTGATCTTGATGAGGCAACAAGTGAGTGTTTTGTTGATTTGAATACCTTTGCTATCATTTCAGTTAAACTATAACTGCAATAATATATATTTTTTTATTCTGTGTCTCTGAACGTTGATCTGATTTTTGGGATAACTGTGACTAATAGATGGATGACTCCCTCTTCTCATTCAAACTTAAAGTGTTAAATTTGAAGAGGTTTTAGTTCATTCTTGTGACTGTTTGTCCTCAGCCTACGACCAAGAAATGGCCTCCCTGTTGTTGCTGTTACATCTCCTTCCACCACCTCCAGGGGGACTGAAGTCTCCAAAAATGAGTGCATGTGATGCAGTTGAAAGACTTGTTGTCTTTCATAAGGTAATTATATTATTACGGGGATTATAATAATTTGTCATGTCAACATCTTAGCCACATATGTAAATGAGGGTTGTGGATTGTAATTATGTCTTCATTCCCATCTTGCACTAGCCAATAAGATGTTTAAATAATCACTTCTATAATGTTTTTTTATTTGGCTGCACATTATTCTTGTCTCTAATGTTCAGTTTTCTGATCTCAACCATAGTCATGCTGCAGTTTGGAGGAGCATCTCCGCAACCAGCAGGGTCGGCAGCCGTACCTCCTCGCTGTTGGGCGTCAGAAGAGCAAGATTGACAGCTTCTACATCACCATGGATAAGCGTCTCATCCCATGCAAGGCAAACCGCTCCCTCGGGGCATGTGATGAACTTTTCAAAGCACATTTTGTGTTTAATTTGTCTTACGATGTGGCACTTGTGAATTTTTATACATTCCTGCAGACAACAGTGTATAAGATTGATGTGGGGAAAATGAAGGAGTCACCCAGAGTTAAAGACTTGAGAGCAAGACTGCTTAACCAGCCAGTAGCATTCTCACCCTGTGAGTAAGAAGCTATAACAATGCTGACCTGTTTCATGTGTCAGAAAAATTATCCCAGCAGTCAGCAGTTGATTTCACATTTCAGAGTTGAACATGGTTACTATCCTGGACCCAAGTTCAAATTGTTTTGTTCTCAGCAAGGCTGTAGGCATCAGTTCCTAACATATGCAGGTTTTCGAAAGCACCTTAATAGTGTTCATAGCATTTTTCAGCAAACTCAAACTTCAACTGTTGCATGTTCATCTAGTGAGTCAGTTGCAACTTCATCTCAGGCACATACTTTGGAGGACCAATTTATTCCACAAAATCAATGTAGTTCTTCCAGTATTTCTTCTGAGGCCAATGATTCAGGACTTACTAAAGATCCAACTAAAGAAATGTGTGCATCCATCGTGGCCAAATTACAGGGGAGTGGGATATCCAACAGTTTGGTATTCTCAATTGTAGGAGATTTGGAAGAACTAACGAGTGAACTTCGCTCACAAGCAAAGCATACAGCTATTTCTGCTTTACCTATAACTGACCCCAACATATCTGTGATAAATGAATCTTTTGAAGATTATGAAAATCCGTTTTCAAATCTGAACACAGAATGGAAACAAAATAAATACTTCCACCAAAAATGGGGAGTTGTTGAGCCAGTAGAAATAACACTGGGAGTGAGATATGACAACAGGCGAAATCAGAAATCCGGTACTTATGATCAAGTACCTGTGAAGGATACTTTTATCTATGTGCCAATTTTAGAAACATTGAAGTTCATGTGCAGAAATCCAGACATTTGTGTTTTGCTAAAGAAGGAGTGTAGATCAGAGCCTGACACTTATACTGACTTTTTTGATGGAAGTTATTTTAAAACCCACCCTTTGTTTACAGCTAATAAACATGCATTGCAAATTCAACTATACTATGACGATTTTGAAACAGCCAATCCCCTTGGCTCCAAATGTGGAATACACAAAATTGGCTGTATTTATTTTGTTGTAAGAAATTTGCCCCCAAAATTTAATTCGGTTTTGATGAACATTCATTTGGTATCACTTTTTCACACACAAGATCTGCGCAAGTATGGTTTTGATGTTATACTAGAACCGTTGATAAATGATGTGAAAAAACTAGAAAGCCAAGGGCTAAGTCTTCCATTTGTAGATGAGCAGGTATATGGTACAATCTGTCAGATTACTGGAGATAATCTAGGGATGCACACAATTCTTGGTTTTAATGAGTCATTTAGTAGCCGTCATTTCTGTTGCCTTTGTTTGATTGAGAAGAATGATTGTCAAACGGTATACAGTGAGGATGATCCTAAAGTGATCCTTCGTGGAAAAGATATGTTTGATATGCATTGCCAGTCTCTCCAGGAAAACCCACAATTTAAGTCACTTTATGGTTTGAAAAAAAGATCTGCACTTAATTCATTGAATTATTTCCATGTTTGCAATAACTATTCATTTGATATCATGCATGATCTTCTTGAGGGTGTGGTTCAGTATGAGATCAAATTGCTTTTTGGATATCTCACACAACACTTTATGGATTTTTAGAACGAAAAAATCGTCCTACAAAGATTATTTTGGAGTGCTGGCAATGGCATTGGTTTGAATTCTATTCAGACATTGTGTCTTGTGAAAAACATCCCACTGTTGTTTGGTGAAATTATTCCTGCAGGAAACAAAAACTGGAATTTGTTACTGTTGTTACTTCAAATAATGAACAGTTGTTTCACCTTCTCTCACTCTAGGTATGACTATATTTAAAGCATTTGATTGTTGACCACCACAAACTCTTTAAGCACTTGTATCCACATAGAAACTTGATACCTAAGCATCATTTTATGATCCATTACCCATCTTCTATAAGGAAAATTGGCCCCTCATTATATACGTGGTGTATGAGGTTTGAGGCCAAACACAAGCTGTTTAAAGATTCTTTAAAAAATTTCAAAAACATAACCAAATCGCTTGCTATAAAGCATCAGATGGCCATTGCTTATCACTGGGAAACCTTCACCCTCAAAAATGAGTATGGGCCCATTAAATCTTTTCTCTTCAGAGATGAGAATGTGGTCAACAATGAAATGCTTGAAACAATCTTGTCAAAAGATGTTTTCTCAACTAGTTGGGTTAAAGTTGATGGTGTAGAGTATAAAGCTGGACTAGTTATTTGCAGTGCAATGGAAGAAGACATGCCAGTCTTTTGTCAAATAAGTGATGTACTTTTGGTTGAAGATCACTTATTTTTTTTGACAAACAAGCTATTTACAGAGAATTTTGATGACCATCATCATGCATTCAGAGTATTACGAAGTGCGGAAAGATGTTTACTAAAAATGTCTGAGCTTAAATTTCATAAACCGTTTGATATTCAAAGCTCATACAATGTTTCGGATGAAAGTTTGTACATTATACCTTCATTCACAATGTTTTAATTCAACTGACTGCAAGGGAGAAAAGGAATAAATGTTTTTGTTTATTGTGATGAATTCTTATTAATAGAGGTATATATATAATTAATACATTTAAAATTAATTTTAACATTTTTTCAGTGTAGATAATTGACACATTAGGGAGTGTAATTAACACTACCAAAATAGTTTAAAAAAATTAACTCGGAGCAGTGTTAGTTGTCTAATCCCTCAGTGTTATTTTAACACTGTTTTGTGAGTTAATAAAGGAACTCTGGTAGAGTGTTAAATGTTTAACTATTTTGAAAGTGTTAATTTAACTCTGGAGAGTGTGGAGCTATATAAACTCTCAAAAAGTGTTGAAATCAACTCTGTGGGAGTTAATTCAACACTGGACTTTTTGCTGTGTACAGGGTTGTCATAATTGTCATTATTTGGCCAGAGATGATTTATTGTAGAGTGTTATTACACTGGGCAGGAATGATCTCCTGTATCGGTCCTTGTGACAGCGGAGCTGAAGGAGTCTGTTGGAGAACGTGCTCCGCTGTCCCTGTAGCAGGTGGTGGAGAGGGTGGTCAGGATTATCCAATATGGATAACAGGTTCTTCAGTGACTTCCCCTCCACCACCTTTTCCAAGCTTTTCCAATCTTGCATCCCCCTGCGTACGGAGTCCTGCAAGCTCTCCCCCCAGTATCTGGGACCGTTCGTCATCGAGTCCATCGGGAACCCCTCTGCCATCCAGCTGAAGTTGCCTTCGGCGGTGAAGATTTACCCAACCTTTCATGTGTCCCAACTTAAACCCGTATCCTCCAGTCCCCTGTGTCCCCCTCCTCAACCCCCGACCCCGGTGCGTTTGATCGATGACCACCCGGCCTACACGGTCCGTCAACTCTTGGACGTTCGGAGGCGCGGTAGGAGATTACAATATCTGGTGGATTGGGAGGGGTATGGACCGGAGGAAAGGATGTGGATAAGGGGGGATACTGTTATGGGTCAGTATGTTTGTATCTTTCTTTTCTCTGGTGTGTCTGTCTGTGCTGTTAGTCTCCACCTATAAGAGGCGTGGACAGTCATCCAGAACCGTCCCCACACAGCTGATCCCCATTCCACAATTCACCCCTCCAGTATATAGACCCAGGCTATTGTTACACAGCCCCTCGTGGTAACTCGACTTTGTATCCTGGCTCACAAGACTTTGAGTGTTCTGTTTGTCTAAACCTGATTCCTCTGTCTAGATCCCGCCGTCCGTGTTCTGACCTGCCGTGCCGCCTGCCTCGTGTCCCTCTGGCGTCCTCACCCGGCTGTCCCCTTCCCTTGGAATCCGCATTCATTGAAGTCACTTCTACGGATTATCAGTTCTGTGTGAACCTCTGTGTGCCAGGCCGAATATCCAGCCTTAACAGTGTGCCTGCAGAATCAGATTTTATTTTCCACTGTAAAGCATCATAGTCTGCACAATTATGTAAATACAATCAAAATGTATAAAAAGCTAAAGCAGTCAACCAGAGCAGATAGACTAGAATGAGCATGTACCTGTAACATATTGCGGGTCAGCGTCTATCCTAACAAAAACATTGTCATGAGTTACTGGATGTGGGAAATGGGTCTTCAGGGGCTCACAGGGTTCTGCTTTTAGATCACACCCAAGTTGGGAACACATAGTGACATTTGATGCATGACCATCTATTGCTCCAAGCAATTGGAGCTTGTCTTTCAGCTCTTCGTTGATGAGGTTTCTCTTTCAGTTCCTCTAGAAGAGCTTGCATATTGTTCTTGGCCCTCTTTTCTCTCCTCGAGGCATTACTTTTCTCCCGGTTCTAAAACAGAAAACACAATAGCATACTTTTATAGGCGTCTTCACTGATAAGCCAAAAATGTAAAGGTTGCCTGCCCCTGGGTGTAGTTTCAATGTTCATGTTAGTCATTACAGTGTATGAGTGACAGAGAAAGTGAGATAGCCAGCGGTTTTCAAACTTTTTTTACACAGAGTACCACCTCAAATAATATTGGGCTCTTATACTACAAACACCATCATAGACCTTTCTGGGTACCACCAAGATGAAGGATTTACTGTAACAGGCCAAATGATGCTCTCATGAGTTTGTGACATTCCACATGCAAATACTCACAACATCGGACATCATTCCATTGGCAGGTTGTCATCCGCTCTACTAGAAGTGGTTGTGCTTCTTGTTGCTAGCGACTAAAATGTGCTGTAATAAACATATTATATAACATGCAGGAAAAAAAAGGTGTCATCCACAAACTTCAGGAGCTTGACGGACTGGTGACTGGAGGGGCAGCTGTTGGTGTACAGGGAGAAGAGCAGAGGGGAAAGAACGCAGCCTTGGGGTAGGGATGAGAATTGATACGATTTTAACAATTCCGATGCCTTATCGATTCAATTCCTTTATCGATTTTTATTGGGCAAGGGGTGAAAAAAAAGAGCACAAACGGGTTTTTTTACATTCATTTTCTTTGATATAATTTTCTATAATGCTGCACACACCATATACAGTATGTATACATACACATTTTAAAAACAAAACAAAAACATTTATACATATTCCTCTTGAACTTAAAATAAAACTTACATAACTTAAATAAAATGTATTCTGTTTAAATTACAAATGTTCCTAGAAATTACAGTGCTCCTTCCTTTTTTTAAAAGGGTATCTACCGTAGTAAAATGGTCCAAACCTTTCACCACAAACTTAGTCACTGCTCGGTGACATTCGTTGATCCTCTCCTCGGTCATTTTATTTGGGCTAGAGGTGTACAAGACGTGCTAGCTGTGACCCCGACAGACTAGCACCCTCTGAACCGCTCTGACTCTGAACGTCATCAGCTAAATTGGATGGAAATGGAGATTATTTATATAGTGAAAGCTGGTTTACACAATGAAACAAATGGCACTAAATAAATTGCTGAGCTGACATAAAGCCACATTAAGAGGGGAGGCAAACACTACCTCTGCCTCAATGTAGGGGTTGAAAATGGAAGATTCTATAGCTAAGCTAGCGGAGCTATATGCTAAGTTTAATAATGGATTAAAAATCAATATGCTCAGTTTAATAATGGGTTAACAAGATAACGCGAACGTTTGCTGATAACACACGCCCTCCGATAATTAACACCGTTACGATCAAACATTTCTCAAAACTGGACTTTCAAGCCTAACGTGAAGTGATCAATAATGGGAGACCAATGCCGGAGCTAAAATGTATGCTTCAAACGAAGGGACAGAAGATAACTTGATCGACTACACACAATAAAGGCAAATTGCTTCACACAGTGAGTGGTTGTGATCACTTTTGAGGAGCCGACGTTAGCGGAGCTGCTGCATCGAACACATGACATTCCTGTCATTTAATTCCATGCTGTGTGTTCACATGCTTATTCATATTTGTTGTATTTCCTCCCTTCGACAAAATAGACTTTTTACACAGGTTACAAGTGGCGTAGGTGTCATTTTGTCGTGTGAAATAGAGGCAAACTTTAGAACGCTTCTGCCTAGTTGCCATGTTTGCTGCAGTCTGAAGAAGAAACTAAAAACGTTTGCGCAACGCCACAGAGGACCGTTAGCAGAAACGTTAAAGAATTTGGCTGACGATTCCAAACAATCGGTTCACTAGGAACCGGTTCTCGATTCCCATCCCTACTTGGGGTGAACTGGTGCTGATGGTCTGGAAAAGCGAGACGTGCCACTTTCATGTGCTGTTGGCTCTGTAGGCGAACTGCAGGGGGTCCAGGAGGGGGTCAGTGAGGGTCTTCAGGTGGGACAGGACTAGCCGTTCAAAAGACTTGATGACTACAGAGGTACGGGTGTATTTTAAGGTTGAAATGCATTCATGTGTATGCGTGTGTGAGATAGAGGGAAATGGAAGGTATTTACAGAAGAATTAGAGTGTAGACCTGAGAAACGGTCATACGAGGTGGGAATGTAGTACAGGAGAACACAAATCAGTTCCAACTTATATGTGGTAACGGAGAGCGGGAGAAAGCTTCTAAAAGACATTACGGTTAAAAAATGTATGCCCCCGTCATCAGAGAAGGTGGAGGTGTTCCCACATCTGGAAAAGGAAAAGTGTGTGTGTGTGTGTGTGTGTGTGTGCGTACTGGCTGGGTTATCATCTTTAGCGCCAGACTATCAACAAAGAGAACTACAAAAGGTGCTGAAAGACATTTATTCAGACTTCTTGACATTTGATTGGACATATAAACTCTGATGAGAAGCACCCAATATCTACAGAACAAAAGGTGAGCAGGGGGATGTGATCCAGGGTGGTCCTGTCTGTCAGAGCTTATGTCACTTCCACCACCTGCCTCAGCTCCTCTATTAGTGGAGCCAGCTCCTTCTCCAGACTCATGATCAGACCTGAGGACACACACGGTGGAACCAACACAGTGAAAAGGTATTTGGACTCCATCATCTTCCTTCTAGCGCCACCATGAACAGCACGGTGTCAGTAATGTGGGCTGCAGTTAACAGAACTTTTCATACCGTAGCATACTGAGAAAGTAGAGTACGAGAACAACACGCACTAATGCACCAAATACAGCACACTGCACCGAGCTTTTCAAATATTATTTACATCAGAGGAGTAGAGTATTAACTATATAATGAAAAACAACATGATAGACAAATTAACACACTACTGCAGATGTAAAAAAACAAAAGCAGTTCACTTACCGGATGCTATTGACTATTTACACACAAGCTAGATACTAAGATCTGCTGGGTAGCTTTCTGTTTGACCGGAGTCACGCTGACCAATCAGAGCACGCGTTACTGCAGACGTGATAATCAAAATAGTTTTTCCCAGTGTTCATTTAGGGAGTCACTGTCTCATCCTGGTTGAGGAGTGCAAAGCAGAAAGTGTCAACCAGGCAGACACGGTCTAATAAGCACCACACACACTTTGTTCTTCTGTTCATTCATGTCAGGAGACCACACAGCATGTGATGGCGTCTTGTGTTGCAGCGAGAGGACTTGCTGCTCTTCCAGGGCCAATAGAAATCTCCTGCCTTTGCAAACGCAGCGCTGATGACCTGTGATCTTACAAATCTACTAGAACCAGAGAAGTCGTTTGGCTGAACTCTTCCAGATGTCCCCAACCGGGCTTCCTATTTTGTTCACGTTTCAGTGCTTATGACCTCGGTACTACTGGCACGTCAACGAATACACCCAACGTGTCAAGCTGAAGACTAACTATATGGTCCCCCATATACTTTAATAGTAAAGTCTCACTAGAAGACATCAATGGAGACACAGGGGCCGAAACTGATTGGATAAAGTCTATTCAAGAAAAATATAAAATGATAGAACAGGTAGAATTGTGTTCAGGCCAGCAGAGAAGGTCACATTGCAACACTGGCAGCAGGAGCCAAGAACCTGTTGGCTTTACTTTGACACGACGGATGAAATATGAATATTTATTGTCATTTCTCCTGCTTGCTCCTCCTCGTTTGGCACAGAGATTTTTCAGCCCATGGAAGCAAACCATCCCTATTAAATCATATTGCATCTGTGCTTCATTATCTTTACTATATTCGGTGCTGTGGAGTGAGGTCAACAGTGTTCAATGATCAATTGAAAGATATTTTACCTGTGTTGGCGTTGCTGCTGGCAATGAAACTGATGACCAGTGGCAACCGATTGAACTGCACGATCTGTTCAACACACACACACATGCATGTTAGGGATTATTAGAGGGTTCATCTAAACTCAAACAGTGTGGCAATGGGCCCGTAGAGCGCAGCCTGGTTGGGTGTTGAAATGCTCAGGAGGGGTAACATCACTAAAGTCCTGCACATGCACTCTTAAACCACTACTTCTATATTAAAAGGAAGTTCCTTACAATGTTTAAATCGCTGGATGGAAAATGATCCGGAGCAATCTCTAATCTTTCAGCAGTTTCTCTAGAATGTAATACACATGTACGTCCAATTAAACCATTTCAAACTGTTAAACAATGTTTCCAACTAGCTTTCAGGCTAACCATCGACTTGGACCAAAAGAAGAGGACACATGACTCATGTATCAAAGTCCTATCAGCACCTACTTTCATTGAACCAGTACTGCTCCTCAGGTCTGGGAGTTTGTACAAGTACACGGCTAAAAGCTTTGAGTCACTGCGCTAAAAGTTCATTTTATCAACCATGTGTCAATTTGAAGGTTATGAGGTCAAAATGTCATTGATTGTATGTTTGCTCTGTTCTGATGAATGTAAATCAGGGGCATGGGTGATGTGTGCATCTACACTACATGAAGCCTGATTGTGTGGCATGTTACCTGGTAGGTGTCGTAGTAGCAGATGATGCTCTTGTTCTTGGAGAGGCCCAGCTTGCTGCCCTGATCAGTGGCCAGAGCAAACGTGGACAAGAAGCCAGGTCTCAGAGCTTGGACAGGGGCGTGGTCATTGGCAACTGCAAGGACACCGAGACAATGGCATGTTACAACGCTCACACCACACATCTCACAGTGTGTCCAACAAATTCACAGAATGTATGTGAATGGACCTTATTTTCCTTTACAACACTGCAGCTGCAGCTGCCTTTCTATTCAGTTGGTGTGCAAGTTCAAACAGGGGGTCAGCTACCTTTGTACAGGGAGGAGGTCAGTGAGACTGATCCTTAAATATACATCTAATTACATCAGGGCTGGCGCTTCAACGTAGCAGCCCAATAACAGTGACAATTATTTGATCGTGCGTATCAAGCGGGGGTTTTGGCATTAGGAAGGGATGAACAAAAAGTATGTGTGTAACTGCTCGACCTGCATGACCAAAATGAAAGATTTTTTTTCTTTGACGAAGATTCAAAGGAAATAAATTAATTAATTAATTAAAAAGTCCTTTTTGTGTTTGACCACTTTACCATACTAACTGGGACCCTTAGTGCTGAATGTATGCTGCATTATGTATTATGGTGTTCCCTGATAAAAGTTTATTCTGGTACCTGTTCAGATTTATATACTGTATGTTGACAGGCTGTTATATTGTTCTGATAACATTACTTTAAAGTGAATGTGCAATAGATTAGTTTATAATTCATTATTGGATGTTGCGCATCATGCAATTAATTGCTGTTAATCACAGAAAAAACATGCCCGGTGCTAATTATATATATATATATATATATATATATATATATATATATATATATATATATTACACACACACACACACACACACACACAAACCTGGATATCCTAACCAGTTATTATTTTAGCTTCTTTTACCATCCATTAAAGAGCTGAAAATACTGTAATCCAGTACATGAGCTTTCAAACTGAACAAGTAGTTACGTTTAGAAAAGAGATCATCAGAATCAGGAATCAGGAAACATTTATTGCCAAAATATGTCAAACATACAAGGAATTTGTCTTGGCGGTTGGTGCGTGAAAGTAGACAGTGTAACAATAGACAACAAGACAGCAGTGCACAAGTAATAAAATAAAGTAAAATGAAATGCTAAGTGCTCTTATTGTTCCTTTATTCGCTACCCGTTGAATCAAGGAGGAATTAAAAATCTCTCTCCTACAGAGACGGAGGACGTTGCATGTGTACAGATAGTTAAGCCCTCTGATGCAGATTTGTGATTTATAGATATGAATTGAATTAGTGAAAAGTGGTTAAGGAGAGGAAATGATTATAGTTTCCAATGACAAGACAGGGATCAAAGGCTTCTGAAAAGTGTTCTTACCTTTGATAACTGGGACCCCGTCCCTGTCTGTCACCACGATAGCATGAAGACCTTCAACACTGAAGTAGAGCACAGTACACTTAATGCAAACAACGACCACACACTGCCAGCGGTGCAGGTAGTGTGCATTACAACTCCTCATACACACCTCTGCAGCTGTTTGTAAAGGTATCTCTTCAAATCCTGCAAAGATCAAATGAAGAAGGAAACGTTTGACAAGGTTCTACACGAGCAGCACCACCTCTACTGACACACACAGGTGGATGCTGAAGCTAGTGGTGGTGTGGACCAGAACCCGCACCTCGACCTTCACTCCTAAAGTGGCAGGTTGAATGTCCCACACATGACTGAGGACGTGAACGCAGCACACAAACAGCCGAGAAGCTAACGTTACCTCGCTGGTAGTTTCGACATAACCAGGGACTTGACAGCTATACTCACATCGGCCATTGTTAGCCGGGGTTTCGTTCCCAGGCCGCGCTGCGGGAAGAAAACGGTCTTAATAGTATAATGTTGTGATATGAGGGTCCATTGAAGTGAATCAAATCATGCTAACAGTTCAGCTAACCAGCGAGATAATAGGTGATACGTCGCTGTTAAAGTAGACGAACCTGAACGACTAACGTAAACCTCAGCATTCTAACAACGTATTTGTCATTTAAATGAAAGGAAATGGTTTAGCATACCTTCTTTGAATACTTTTGAATCGGCTCTATATCAAATAGCTGTCTCCAATACACACTCAAAAAGAAACGGTCACCAGACGAAAATCACATGACGGGCTTGTTTCGTTTCCGGCTCCTGCAGAAGTGTTGAAGGACGTCACTGCTGCGCTGCGCAGCCCAGTGGCGCAGCATCACTCCCCAGAACCTCAACATGAGGTTCACCAGTGGAAACCACAGCTTGCCAAAAGGTTAGGTGGGCCTACTTCAGAACCCCTAAATGCAGAATCGAGACCTAGAGGCCTACAGGATTTTCCAGAAGTGAGTCATTGTTCTCTCTGCATGCTCTGCATCACCAGAACAAAATAAATTAAACCCCTGCAAATGTCTTGCATTGTAAATATGGGTCGCCGTGGCACAGGGGTTAGAGAAAGTGTGCTGGGAAGCACAAGGTTGGTGGTTCAAGTCCAGGCTGCCCCATGTTCCATGTCGAAGTGTCCCTGAGCAAGACACCTACCCCCAAATTGCTCCCCGGGCAAAAATGTGAAAAAGCCATGAGTTTACAGTGTAATGTAATAATATGTAATTCTTTCCTTACACTGTGTGTAATGTGTCCTTTTAGGAATGGTTGTTCTAAAACACGAAGGGATTACAATGATGTTCTAGGCCTGGTTTAACTTGAGATTTTTGTTGGTAATAACAGGTAGAGATCCGCTGAGCAGTTGTCATATCCCTGCGACCAATTCCAAATATAGGCAACTATTAATAGAAAACGTGAGCAGACTGGGCTTCACACATTCTCTGCCCTGACACCACCACACTACTCAGTAAAGGGGCTGGGAGGAAGCACTGTACGGTATACTCAATCAGGTGAGTTTATAGGGACAAGACAAGCTGTACGCTCAGATAGTTTAGACAGCATAATGATGTTAATTTAAAGATCATATTTCAGTTATGTTACTCAGTGGTTATCAAACTGGGGGACACATTAGGACTATGAGCATTGCAATAAGTTTAAAACATGTTTTAAGGAATTCTGAATCAGTTAGCACTATTAACATCATCATTTGCTGCTTTGCATTGAATGAAGAAAGACAAATAAATGTTCTATAAAATCTCAAGAATCAGTGCGTCGATACAAGCAAGACTCACTGACTAATTATTCTGAACGTAAAACAAAAATGTTGGACACATGATTGACAACGACGACAAGGATAACAGGGGAATCAGTTAAAAACCAAACGAGGAAGACGCTTTTCTCAATAGTTATATATTATAATTACATTTTAGTAACTAGATAGCAAAATCAAACATTAATGTAGTGTTTTGCTAAATGAATGCAGCAGTCTATCACACTGTATGTGAGGACAGCAGAAAGAGCATGTTGTAACCAACAACAAGAATAACAATTTCTGTAACCTATAACATATAGTAGGAAAGTAGCTGCTCAGTGACAACCATGTATAAAATAATACGTGTGGCACAGAACCACCCGACTTGGACACAACTTCTTGTTAGGTCACTTGTTTAATGTGTAAGAGATACAAGTATGGCTGAATTTACCAAATGACTCCTTGCTGTATGGTGTTGGTTAAAAGAACATTTTCACATGGAGCACACAGCTCGACACTGGCTTGAATGTTTTCCAATAATATTTCATATCATTGAATTGCTTTTGATTTAGGATTGTATTGTTTGTTATTTTGTCTTCACGTTCCTCTGATTAGAATGGGGGACCTTCCACAGTTTGAGCAGGACTTCTACCAGACAGGATATTACAGAGATGACCAGGGTCACACCGTCGCCAGCTATGACACTGACGATTACAAGAACCCTGAATATTACAATACGTAAGTACTCAGACTTTTGACGATAGCCCTCTTTTGTGCTTTCCCATGTTGGGAACTGTCTGTAATGACATGTCAAGACACATGCTAATAAATACGACTGGACTAAGGAATTAAAATCAGGAACATCTACTGCCAAAGTATGTTTTACAAACAAGGAATTTGACATGGCGGGTGGTGCATAACATTGGACAATAAGACACTAAACCGTTAGACAGCAAGAAAATAAAAAGTGCAGGAAATATAACATGTTCAATTCATTAAATATACAATAAAATAGAGAACAATATCAAATAAAAAAAAGTGCAGAGGCAAACAAGTAACCATATTCTACGCAAGTGTACTGTAAGTGTATGTGAAAGTAATTAAGTGTATTTAAATATGGAGTATGAGAGGATGTGCAAGGGAGTGAACGGTAGGAAAATGGGATGTCAGAGTCAGTAAGTGGGGGACCGGCTCTGTTGATGAGCCCGACTGCCGACGGGAAGAAACTGTTGGTGTGGCGGGAGGTCTTAGTCCTGATGGACCTCAGCCTGCTGCCAGATGGAAGGGGCACAAACAGGTTTTGTCGGGGTGAGAGGGGTCGGCTACCATCTTTTTAGCTGCTTCAGAGACCTGGAAGCGAACAAGTCCTGCAGGGACGTCAGATTGCAGCCGATCACCCTCTCTGCAGAGCGGAGGACACACTGCAGCCTGCCCTTGTCCTTGGCTGTGGCTGCAGCGTACCAGACGCTGATGGAGGAGCAGAGGATGGACTCCATGATGGCCGTGTAGAAGTGCACCATCATCGTCTTTGGCAGGTTGCATTTCTTCAGCTGCCTCAAGAAGAACAACCTCTGCTGAGCCTTCTTGGTGATGGAGCTGATGTTCAGCTCCCACTTGAGGTCCTGGGTGATGATGGAGCCCAGGAAACTGAAGGAATCCAAAGCTGTCATGGGGGAAGGTTGGACTGTGTTCTTCCTGAAATCCACAACCATCTCCACTGTCTTTAGAGCGTTGAGCTCCAGGTTGTTGTGGCTGCACCACGACACCAGATGGTCAGACTCCACCTGTAGGCGGACTCGTCCCCACCAGAGATCAGTCCAATGAGGGTGGTGTCATCTGCAAACTTCAGGAGCTTAACGGACTGGTGACTGGAGGTGCAGCTGTTGGTGTACAGGGAGAAGAGCAGAGGGGAAAGAACGCAGCCTTGGGGGGAACCGGTGCTGATGGTCCGAGAGGCTGACACATGTTTCCCAGCTTCACGTGCTGCTTCCTGTCAGACAGGAAGTCTGTGATCCACTTGCAGGTGGAGTCGGGCACGTGCAGCTGGGAGAGTTTGTCCTGCAGCAGAGACGGGATGATGGTGTTGAAAGCAGAGCTGAAGTCCACAAACAGGATCCTGGCGTAGGTTCCTGGGGAGTCCAGATGCTGGAGGATGTAGTGGAAGGCCATGTTGACAGCATCGTCCACAGACCTTTTGGCTCTGTAGGCGAACTGCAGGGGGTCCAGGAGGGGGTCAGTGAGGGTCTTCAGGTGGGACAGGACTAGCCGTTCAAAAGACTTTACATGTTGTTTTACCGTCATGATCTTGTCAAGCAAAATGACAAACATTGTATTCCATTTCCCAAGCTACACATCTTCTTCTACTTTGTCTCTTCATTTATTTTGAAGCAACAGTTTTAGGTTTCTATGATGAGATTAATCAACTATACACTCAAGTAACAGAAGAAGTCACCGAAGCAGTAATGTGTTAAAAAAAATGCTTACTCAACATTGATGTAAAATGATTAAACAGGCCATTTATTAAAATAGTTCCAAGTAGGATAAGAAACAAACCAAGGAGTGCTACCAACCTCTCACTTTCACACCTACAGTATTTTGTGCCCGAGTGTGAGGCCAGAGTGGGCTTTTGAAAGAGAAAAATACTTCACATAAGGATACACTCATCAAAGCTCCTATGATAAGCCTCCTTCATTGTGTGTCCTTGGAATGTATTTTAGGAATAGTAAAATCCTAGAGGATGGAGCGCTGAGGTCAGTTGATGGGGAACAGAGACAGACCCAATGCCTTTCATTCGTCCTTGGAAAGACTTGTTAGGATATAAAGGAAGGTACTAACTTAAGTAAAAGTTAGTAAGGTAGGTTTTGGAAATGATTTTACTGTGAAACATGTTTTACACGATATAAATAAGTCATTATCCTGAAGATTCCTGATCAATGACGCATAACCTAGGGAGTATTTTGCTGATTTTCCCACCTTCAAAGCACATGCAGAATTGTTCTGATATACTTGTCTTTGTTTTAGCGGAGCACAGGCTTTTGTGTCGGGTGCTTTGGATCCCCACATGGAGCAACAGTACACAGGACAGTTCTTCCAACCCGTAATGCTTTCTGGGACTGTTGGAAGCCGAGGTACAGATTATTCTGAAGAGGAGCCTACCCTTCTTGAGGGTAAAAAATCTAAAATTTTCTTTGGATCATTATAACGATGATGTATAAATGTATATCTTGCAAACAATTGTCTGTTCACAGAGAGATCATATGTGTTGACTCAAGGTGGGGAACCATCTAATTACTGAAAATCACATTTTTGTCCAGAGCTCGGCATCAATTTTGATCACATTTGGCAAAAGACCTTGACCGTGCTGAACCCATTTAAGCCTGCAGATGGCAACATTATGAATGAGACGGATCTGACCGGTCCAGTCCTCTTCTGCGTTGCACTTGGGTTCACTTTAATGATGGTGAGTTAATAACATAGTACTGCTTATCTCAAACATTACTTTGTACACTGCTCGGCATTCATACATTGTCATGTATCATATGTACAGTCGTTTGATTTAACAAGAGGCTGCTTATTTCTTCATTCTCATATATTCAGGCAGGTAAAGCCCACTTTGGTTATGTGTATGGGATCAGTGCAACAGCCTGTACTGGGATGTACATTCTGTTGAGTGTGATGAGCTCTGTGGCCGTGGCTTATGGCTGTGTGGCCAGTGTCCTAGGCTACTGCCTCCTGCCCATGGTGGCTCTCTCTACATTTGCTGTATTCCACTCTTTGCAGTAAGTCCATCCAGTTGTACTGTATTAATATACTGTTTGTATTTGTGACTTGGAAGATGTTGTAACTCAAAAGAAGTTGCGCATGGAGGTGGTCGTCAAAGTCGTTGGTGTAAATTTGAAATCTAGCTGTGAGGGGTTCCCCAAGACAACTGCTGGAGGATTCTTAAGCAAAGCACTTACAGTATCTAATAGGCGATGTAAAGTTTTCAGCTCACAGATCAAATCTCTAACTTCTATTAACATATTAACGTTAGATGTTGCCTTTTGAAGGTCACTCAAAAAGGTTTGTACTTATCATCAGTGCAGTTCAGGACCACACATATTTCTGAAGTTGCTGAATTGATCTTAAATTGATAACACATTTAAAACGTAATTATTTTATACTCAAGTATGTTTATCTCTAGCAGAGATGCAGGCCACAGAACCACCTGAAGCTCATAACGGATGTTTGTTGCTGAAATACTGGTAGCTAACTTCAACATTGGCATTGATATTAACGCAGGCTGTAGAAGTGCTCCAAACAACTATATTTACTTATTCACTTTTCTTTCCATATACTAAAGACAATATAAGAAAGACAAAATGCATTAATTTACATTTTCAATGACAATGTATGTTGCACTAATATTCCTGTTGATATTGAAATATACATACCCAGAGAATGTTCCTAAAACTTGAATAATATAAATACCACTATGTCTTAATCCAATATGTTTGAAAGCCATCAGGTTTAATTTGGAATGTCCAAAGGGAATTTGTTGTTAACATATTCCCCTATCAAATTTGTAATGTTGACATGTTAGTGTCCGTGTAATTGTAGTCATTGTTCGTGGGAAAAAGGAATGGGACTTTTACCCCCGTAACACATCTGCCTGTAATGGCAACTCATACTTTAATACAATGCTTTAAGCTGCTGACACTGATATCCCCATTTAATCAGCCAACAACTGTGATACCATTGTCAACATAGTCACCAATAAGACAGTGCTCAGGTTACTGGTCCATTTTAATTTGGACGGTCAGGTGTCCTTAACATGCAGGACTCTTGCGTAGTTGAGGTCAGGCTGACTTTCATGCTTTAAATCCCTCTTTTTGTTTTCACAGAGGCGTCCTGGGTTCGGTTCTGGCCTTGTTTGGAATTTGTTGGTGTAGTCTGTCTGCCTCCAAGATCTTCATCTCCACTCTGGCCATGGAGGGCCAACAGCTGCTGGTGGCTTACCCATGTGCTCTGCTCTATGGACTTTTTGCATTAGTCACTGTATTCTAAGATTTACCCCGGGGAAAATCATTATCATTCAAAAATCAACCTTTACTAGCAATAAAGTTTCACCCCCTAGTCTGTTTGTGTGCTTAGGTAACTCCCTCAAGGGGATTGAAAGGAGATCAGGAACCTGGTGCTTTGAGTACTGTTACAAAGTAAACGCCACAGACACTGGACAATAAACCATTGCATTTCATCACTGTAGGCCACTTCAGCGTTATCATTTACTGGGTTTTTGATCATTTATATCATCATATCATTACCTGCTATTCCTAAAAAGTCCACTGGGGGTCGCACTCTATGATTGAGCTCATGCGTTGGACCCTGGGGATCAGGTCGTTCACCAACGCAGTGCCAGTAGATCCCTTCTATTGAAAAAAATTCGCTGAGTTGGATTGAAAAGTTGCTGAAAAAGTGAGGGCCCCCCTGCTTTAGACCTTTTCGACCACGGTGTTACAGGCAGCAGCGCCTGCTTGAAAATGACTGTGACCCCCGACTGTGGGTTTCTGTTAGCTTCATGTATTGCTGCCTGGAAGCATCCGTATCAAAGTCTAACTACAGTGACCATGATCAGATCTACCAACTCTCACGGTTTCGCCGTGTGACACACGCTTTTGCATGTTTTCACACGCACTCACGCCACACAACAAATTTCTCACGGCAAAAAAAGAAATTCGGATTTTGGGCCGAAGCGCGTTCGTTCCTTTTCAAACTCCCCGACGATAGATGGCGCTAAGGAGCGCATCTGTAAACCTATTCGCTGCATAGACATCCTGTTTACCCCGAAGAGTCCCGGAGTTAGCAACGGAAGAAGGTTTTCAAACAGACACAACCGCGGGAGAAACTAAGGAGGAGCAAAGACTAAGGTACGTTAATGACATGTGGTTCAATTAAGTACTCACTCTCTTAAACTTTAATTCTTGAAAGACATTATTAGTTGTGTTTGTGTGATTTTGAGTGGTGAATGTAAACTGTCACAACAAGCAGCAGGAGAGCACCTTGTTAACCTCTTGGTGTACTGCACGCTCAAAACATCATAGCATTGTTTATTAAGCCTTAATAAACAATGCTTGATAAAAAAAGATACTAACCAGCTTCTGATCTCCTTCTTAATACCTCATCTTTTGTTATTTTATTTATGTGTATTTATATTATGTGTATCCATTGTTTTGCTTTGAAAGGCTACTGTTTAAGCACTTTATTTGTTGCACTTTTTTGTTTGATAATGAAAAATATTTTTCCCTAACTAAACTTGTCATTTTTTGCTGAACATGAATCATTAAGTGCTCTTAAGAATACTTATATTATTAACAATATAGGTGAGGTTTTAGTTAAGAGTTAGTTGAATACCATTGTAATCAAAACAACCTAAATTGGTCAAATCTTAAACACAGGTCTATTAATTAGGCTATGTTGTGGTACATAGACAGTCATTGAGGCACAGCAATAGTTTTCTGGATGAATGTTCAGCTCAAGTCTAGAAGGCCCCACAAGTCATGAGCAGATGAACATGAATCAGAATAAGTTCAGGCATACCACCCAAAGATCCACTAGAATGCATGAAATAACATCTACTTAAACCAGAATGTCCTTGGGGTGGACCATCAGCTACGTCTCTGCTTCTCAGAATGTAACCAATGTTGTCCACCTCCAGCAGGCCGCCCCTCTCAACGACGTTGGGCCCCACAAACCACCAGAATGCAGGGTACAACATGGGTACTACGCCAAATGAATTCCAATTTCCTGATATGAGCCACCAATGTGTGTGGCTGCGTGCGCGGCAAAATCTTGGTCACCCCCGACAAAATCTCACTCCAAGTTTTTTTGAAAAGTTGGCAGCTCTGCATGATGTAATCACCATTTACAAATTTCCCCACCTTAGCCAAGCCTTTGTCTTAATTTACAGATTTTCTGATGGGGAAACTTGTTTAGTTTGATAATGTTTCCTTAGTCAGTATTACTTAGAGAGAAAAGCTGCACTGGAACTGCACAGATCATGGAAGATCTTTGAGTAGTCTTCTACTTCTAGTCTACTGATTAGTTTAGTAGTAGTATAAGCAAGTGGGTGAGAATTGTTTCATCTACTTTCAAGTTTTTTTTATGAATGTCCTGTGTCAAGTAATATTTTTTTTAACATATTCAAATGTACCATGTTGTCTGCAAAATAGTCATATAAATCATATGACCAATAAAATAAAACTTTATAGCTAATGGTTAAAGTGAATTAGTCTACAAACCACCTGCAGAGAGAAGCTTTCAACATGTGCATTGTACAGGAAAAGAGACGGACACCACATCCTGTATTCTTCAAAGCAGAGGTCCCCAACCACTAGGGGTGGGAATCTCTTGGCACCTCACAATTCGATTTGATTCGATTAAGATTCAGAGGTCAACGATTCGATTCTAAACCGATTATCGATTCTAAACTGATGAAACGATTATCAATGCATCTCGATTTTCTAAATTTTCTCAAATCTGAGTTTGAGTTTTTTGTAAGAGAAAAAATAATCTTTGTCACAAATATGATTTTCTATTAACAATGCAAGAACCAATGCAGCTTGCATTTCAACACAATATGGAAGTAGCCTATGTAAAAAAAATATTAAACATTCATTTTTCTTTTAAATTATTAAAGAAAAATCTGCTCTTAGTCAATGATAAGAAGACCTCAAACACAAAATGCCCCTTTTATTATGAGTAATAAGCAGCATATCCCTGAGACAGAAAATAAGTTATGCTACACAATAATACGCTACTTTATGGCGTTTGCATTTCAACACATTTGTACAGTCGAGAGTGTGGTTAAAACAGTGAGTTGGTTTATTTACACACTGACAGAAACCAATTGAATCTAACAATGAAAGGAATGCAGTACTAAGGCTGTCGTTGTCGACATCCACATGAATGTTAAAGTCACCCACAATAATTACCTTGTCCGTTTTAAGGACCAAACTCGTTAAGAACTGTGAAAATTCAGAAAGAAATTCTGAATAAGGACCTGGGGCCCTGTACACTATTACAAAGAGAACCGGCTGGATTATTTTCCAGGTCGGTTGCGAAAGACTGAAAACAAGGCTTTCAAATGAGTTATAATCCACCTTAGGTTTAAAGTTTATTAAAAGGCAGGAGTCATAAATAGCTGCCCCCCCCCCCCTCGGCCTGTGCCTCGGGGAATATGAGTATTAACATGACTCGGAGGAGTCGCTTCATTTAAACAGAAATATTCCCCATTCAACAACCACGTTTCAGTAAGACAAAATACATCAACATGGTGATCTGATATTAGTTCATTTACCGAAACAGCTTTAGATGACAGAGATCTGATATTCAAAAGACCCCCTTTAATTCTCCTATTTTGTTGCACTATTGCATTATTAGTTTTAACTTTAATTAAGTTATTTACTAGAACTCCTCGGTTGTTTACCTTTAACTTAGATAAGTGTGTCCGTGGGGCAGACAAGGTCTCTATAGGGTTCATTATGCTGAGTGACTGCTCAGATTGAAGCGCAGAGAAGTGTGTAAGACTGCGACTCTGCTCCCTGGTCTGAACTCTGGGTCATGAATTAAGTCCACTAAGAAACTGGGTCAGGTTCTTAGAAAGAAGTTCAGCTCCGTCCAAAGTGGGATGGATGCCGTCCCTCCTAATCAGACCAGGCTCTCCCCAAAACGTCTTCCAGTGATCAACGAAGCCCACATTATTTACTGGGCACCACCTCGACAACCAGCGGCGGAATGACGACATGCGGCTATACATGTCGTCACTTGTCAAGTTTGGGAGGGCCAGAGAAAACTACGGTGTCCGACATTGTTTTAGCGTATGTACACACCGATTCCACATTAACTTTAGTGACCTCCGAGCAACGTAATCGGGAGTCATTACCGCCGACATGTATTACAATCTTACTGTATTTACGTTTATCCTTAGCCAGCAGTTTAAGATAAGACTCAATGTCGCCCGCTCTGGCGTAACTATGGTCCCTGGTTTCGCTAACTTCACGTTCCTCAGAATGGAGCTACCGATCACCAGAGTTGGCTTCTCAGCGGGTGTGTCGCCGAGTGGGGAGAAGTGGTTTGAAACGTGAAGTGGTTGGTGGTTAACCGTGTGCTTCCACTTAGACTTATGCTTACTCCGGACAGTCACCCAGCCTCCCGGCTGCTCGGGGGTTGCCGGGGGACGGCTAGCAGGAGCGAACGCTACGTCTATGTGGCCCGCACCGGCTACGGGGGTGGGCGGGGTAACTACAGCGGCTAACGACTGAGCTTCCATGGTGCGGAGCCGTGCTTCTAACTCACTAAGCCTCGCCTCCAATTTATCAAATATACTACACTTCTTACATGTACCATTATCCATAAGGGAGGCAGAGGAATAGCTAAACATGTGACACACCGAGCAAGAAAGAGCAGGAGAGGCAGGGAGGGAAGACATCACCAGGTTAGCTGCTAAGCTAATGCTAACGCTAATAGAAGTAACGTTGACGCTAAACAACGTCCAAGCAACTATTCGATGGAGCGAAAATTTGCTAGGCGGTGAGGCGTTTAACAGCGCCTCACATAGATAAGAATTCACCGTTGTGATGAAAAATATCACGCTACAGTCAACTCAGTATAGCTAGAGCTGTGAAAAGTTCGATGACATCAAACACGCTGGTAACAGGAAGTGACGCAACACGCTTACCGTCACCGCTGTGTGTCTAAGTGTGCGTTTTAACAAGAACAGAAGGTGTCAACAGTCACAGTCCACAGGAGCTTTCTCACACAGCTTTCATGATTAATGAGGGTCCCAGCAGACCCTGACAACTGCACTCAGTGATGTTCTGCAGACAACTTTCTTCAAGAGCTGGGAGAGCGAGCAGGGGAGGGAAAGCGGGGGTACAAATGTTGACAAAATTTTGCTCTGATATTAACAGCGGGTAACTTCTAAGGGTCCCAGGCCAATCAAATTTATGCTACATTGATGCTTCTAAAGCTTTCAATAGAATTTGTCATGAAACAATGTTTATGAAGCTGCTAGCGAGAGGGGTCCCTAAACCTCTTGTGAGGATTTTGATGTTCTGGTATGCCAATCAAACTTTTCATGTTAAATGGGACAATGTCGTATCAGCTCCTTTCTATGTTGGTAACGGAGTTTGACAAGGAGGAATTTTATCTCCCTTTTTGTTTAATGTTTATATGGACAACTTATCAAGCTGAATAAGACAAA